ATTTGCCGTGGAAATTCGACATTTCCACACCATGTAATTTGACAAGGCACGCAGCTCTTCTTTACTGACAGGGCCCATCAATTTGTGTGCATGAAACGCAATTTGTTACTTACATGATCAATCTATACACTTACGATGTAAATGTACTATTCTAGGCCTACAATGGCACGTAAAACGAGGTTTACTAGATTCTTTAAAAGATCGGTAGGCGGATCGGGTGTTATTACGCTTACCTTAGGAGATTTCTCATTTACACGAACTTTTTTTTTTTTTTTTTTGGGGGGGGGGGGGATTTTACTGTGGAGAGAGGACGTTAAAAACGAAGGGAAGGATAATATAAAGAGGAAAAGAAAAAGGCAGAGGAGGCTCCCCGCCGGTCGGAAAAACCCCAATCTTGCATGTGTGACAGGAATAGTAGTCCTAGAGATGGAAGTTCAGGGGCCCGTATGATTAGTGCAGGTTAGGTTATGATGTATTTCATAGCAGTATTTGCAGCCCTGTTCTAAGTTGTAGTTCCCTATCAATTTTTAAATATATTCTCACTGAAAAAATTATAAAGTCCATGGAAGTTGTACATTTTCTAGAGACTAAACGCGTTTGCTATCTATGATATGATTTACTATTTCATCATCGTTACGCAAGAGATAAAAAAAACTTAATTCACGTAAAAGAAACTTGGTGGCATCATGTCAGTTTTAATGATAAGCCTTTCTAGAATAACTTAATAAAGCCAGTTGGTATTTGATGTTACAGCCTACCTTTCTTTTTCTGAACAGAAAACCATTCCTATATGACATATTGGTAATCCTTCTAGTAATCCTTCTAGTGCATTCATGACACGTTCTGGTATCAAGCTCACCTTTCAAACATTTTATTATATTTTTATAACAGAACACCATCACTTTATGACATATTCGTAATCCCTCTAGTGTATTCAATGGGACACTTCCTGGTATCAAGCTCACCTTTCAAACAATTTATTTTATTTTTCTGCAAAGAACACCGTCCCTTTATGACATATTCGTAATCTCTCTAGTGCATTCAATGGGGCGCTTTCTGGTATCAAGCTCACCTTTCAAACAATTTATTTTATTTTTCTGCAAAGCACATCATGCCTTTATGACATATTGGTAATCTCTCTAGTGCATTCAATGAGACACTGTGGTGGTATCAAGCTCACCTTACAAACATTTTATTATCTTCTTCAACGCCTGGTCCTCAAACTGCTTATGTGCCCAATCTGCGTTATACACTTGTTTAGTCACTTCAGGTTGAAATTTTATAGTGACGACGACGAGTTGGTCTTTCATAAGTTTATTTTTAAGCGCCTCTCTTTTCATACAAAGATAATATAAGGCAAACGCGCTAACCTTTTTTCTTTCCGTCAACTTATGTGTGATCTTTAAAAAAATCACATTCTTCTTTGTCAATTAAATACTCAGTATCTCTTATAAGGCAATGATAATCTCACCAAGCACTTGTTTACGTCTCCTAAAACAAAAAAATATTTATTTCTATGACCTCATACTTGGAAAGTTCATATCGCCCACTTTGCAGTTGTTGCCCCCACGCCACGGAAAATTACTTTTTGATTGCGAAATCAATCAATCAGCCAAAACCTGATTTGTCTTTGACATTTCCCAATCTTGAAGAAGAAAACAATTTACGCACTAGTTGACTCTTTAGAAAATCACACTTTTGAGGGCCTTTATTAAAATGAGCTGACTTATTAATTGAATAAATCGTAACCAATTAACTTTACACCCACTAGGTTACAAATAAAAGAAATAAACAAATTAATAAATAAGCAAACTAGAAAGGATGTGACTGATGGGAGTCCTTAATTTTTTAATGTTTGACTACATTTGTAGCACTCAAAACATCTCATATTAGAAAGCGGCCAGCAATCCTGCTAGGGTTCCTAAACATTGCTGCCAATGTGTACTTCAGCTAAAAGTAGCCTTCATCAGTTTTGGCTTAATTATCAAAACATTACCTTTAACTGAAAATGGTAACTGTTCAAAGATAGGAAATTTGATTGCATATTTCCAATATTGGTATTGAAGAAGTGTGTAAAAAGGGATTGTACAATCATATTTATATATGAGAATAGGTACTCAGTGTCTTGTGTTTCAGTCTGTAGTTCATTTCAAATCTACAAAGTTCATTTTCGTTATGCACGACGTCTTGTGTGGAGACAGAGTCAACATCTCTCCCACTGGGGCAGTTTATTTGATGCGATTTTATTGGAAAAGATAAGAAAGAAATGAGCATGGACAAATTTGTTTAAAATCGTCGGAGATGAATTCTCTTTCATGTTTGCTTAAAGTCTTCCCACCTTATTTACAGCTGGAAACGCTGTATTCCATATGTTTTGATCGAGAATGAAAGCTAGTGGGGAGCAATTGGTGAATCTCTATACTAGTGCTTCGTATACAGTATAGGGCGGATGTTCCATAATGCTGTGTAAAATTTAAAAAGAAAAACATCTCTTTTGAACATTGTGGGGCAGCAGCAGAATTCTAGACCCGACATCAACCCTTTAGAACAACTTCCCATGCTTGCCAGTGATGTATAAAGCTTTTTGACAACGCCCTTTAGAAAGGTATTAAGGGCATTTTTTAAATAAATGTGTGCCAAAGAAAAGTCAAGTTGAGTTTGTTGCTGTTATATGGGGGCAGACAAAGAGTAGGTGATTTGTTTCTCCCTCCTTTCCCTCAGGTCATATCTATTTTGCCATCACTTTTTTTTTCAATTTACAAACGATGAATAATGGCTGAACTAACTTATGGCTTGTTCACCAGGGGCCATCTGCAGTTTCAACAGTTGATAGGGCTATCATATGAAAAACACTTTACACTGTAGAAAATGGTTGTCCTATGGACAGTTGTCCTGAAGAAAAGCAGTCATTTTTACCACTAGATAGCTACATCAGAAACAAAAAATATTTGTCTGCCATTTTTGAAACATTACTTTATCCACAGGTTAACTGTCCAGAGGATAACAATTTTATCCGTAGGATAGCGCCATCCAGTGTTGATGAAACTGGACCCAGGCATAGTTTTAAAACCCATACTGTGGATCCAGGTGAGCGAAGGACACCCCACCCACCTTTCTTTCCTGAGTAGAACGGTGTATTCCGCTGCACTTAAGATAAGACTCAATTGCATGTGTTCATGTAACAGATTTGTCGGAATGTCGAGATTTAAATGGATAACAACTCTTCGTATGAGAACCATATTTCACAATAAATATATTGTAATAAAAAAAAACTCACAGAAATATAAAAAATTATCTTTTACTACCAAAACAGCGGTTATCGCAACTATTTTGGAATCTGTGCTTGCCATCGGACCACGTGATCTCCATAGATGGCTACCCTATGTAATAAAACAACTTTTAGAAAAAAAACAGGGACCAACTTTGAACATCAGAACGTCAGAGGGGGGGGGGGGGTCAGGAGGGTCCTGACCCCCTTCGATTTCTAGTTCCCATCTTGTAATTAGAATTTTGACTAGCTGAATCATAGATCTAAACCGTACCAAATGGCACCGTTCGCCCTCTAAAATACTAAGTTTGGGGCGGACGCCCCTCTTCAAATTATCCTGGATCCGCCCCTGGTTGTTATCCATTTTGCATTTTTGTATTTCCTCTTCATGCAGAAGGCAATAGAATGAAATGCACCATCAAGCAACACTAAGAATTCAAATTCCCTTCGCCCACTGCCATTGCAGTGATGTTCCCATTGCGTATGTATACTCTGGGAGAGAAGTCAAGTGAATTTCTGCTTAAACTAAATTGAGACATAGATTAAAGGCTACGGTGAAGTGCAGTAGGCTAACGCCCACCGACAGCAGTTTTATGTAAGTCCTTTCACATCAGGCGGTTTACTTGCACATGTGCCGGTTACTTTAAAAGGTCCTAACATTTACGTAATTACGTTACTGGGGGTTTTACTCGCTTTCGCGGGATTGCTTCCACATGTTTGAGCTGAATTAACCGCGGGAACTCTGTTTGGGTGACTTTCAAGTTGTCAGTCTCTGAACGCGTAGGCCTACCGGTACAGACTGCTATTTGTGAGAAGCACCCTCGTTCGTTTATGTCTCCAACAAGAATTGTGATTCATGTACGAAGATAATAATAATAATAATAATAATAATAATAATAATAATAATAATAATAATAATAATAATGATGATGATGATTATAACAATATTTAGTACTTAGATTTTATATAAATAGTCCAGTAGACGTGCCAAATCATTGTTACTATAAACTCAACCAAATGCCGCCACAGTTTCAAATACATGTAGAATCACTTAAAGAAATAGTAGAGGATTTCGTTTCATTAATTTCCATTTGTTACATTTGTTTCTTACATATTGCACTGGAGGGGTGGATTAAGAGTTTTCGACCCGAATTTTGAAGAAGGTGCAGTTTTAATACTGTAGGTTCTACATTTCGATCTTGATTTCATACATGTATATTACCCATATTACAGCAACACTGTAAAGCTACCACATGAAAAAGTATAGGGCCTACGTGAGCAAGCTAGCTTTATGGTGTCCTGACACTCAAGGCAAGTTTTAACGGCTTTTTTATCTGTAAACCAAGTGATCAATTTGAATTTTATTTAAAAAGTATAAGAAACTGGCAATAGTATCAGCATGAGTTACGTGGAATGTACACAGGTGTGACAACTGCCAGCTAACTCGATTTCTGCAATCTGCTATCAGTTTTATTAGGAACTACATGTACGCTTGCGATAATTATAATATATCCTTCTAACAGGATTATTAAATCAAGAGTTAGTTACAGCAGGTAGCATACACATTCACCGATCTAGCAATGAGAGCAACCTGGCTATTGTGCAACAAAGCGCTGTTCTTACAAAAGTCGTTGCGACAGTTGCGACGGATCATTCCAGCAGGTTGTACTTCGAAATTTAACCGTGTGGCTTGTCTTGGAAAGATTGTCGATTGATGGCGCTGTGACCAGCTTTCAGAATCCCGTGATCGGAGATGTTGAAGTTTACGTGTTGCTTTGATATTTCCAAAGAATTTGAACATTTAATAAGTGCAACACAAAATGAGCAAAGTAAGTTAATGAATGTGCAGTAATTAATATAATGTGTGGTTTTTATGGCCACGTGATCTCTCTGTCTCTCTCTCTCTCTGTCTCTCTCTCTCTCTCTCTCTCTCTCTCTCTCTGGTGCTTTTGTTGTTGTTGTCAAATGTTGTTATTGTGTTTTTACAGATGTGAATCCAGACCTGTCTGCCACTGTGGTTGGCCAGGAGAAAGATGGCATTGTTTTGTATACATGGGACAGCAAATCGCAGTTCAGCGGGGTAAGTCGGGGCCGCACTTTTAATCTGTTAACGCCTATATCAAATGATTTGACTAATCTGCTGGATGTAAAGATCTACTGGTCAGTAATTTATTACTAAAAATATAAGAGGAATGCAATTTCTGAAAAGGGCATCCATAGTTTAAAATAATTTTTTTTCACTTTTGGTCGTGGTACATTTTGAGAAAATTCTTGTTTTGAAATGCATGCATGACATTCGACCATGAACAGGGCAGTGTTTTTTAATTTTTCTTTTCTTTATTTAAAAGGATATAGAAGTCACCCATGTTGGAATATACGATCCAGTTAAACAGACTAATAAGGTAAAAATCACCTCAATTTTATCAAGTAGAGAGGATAAGGAAGTTTAAGTGTATACTAGTAGCTGATGATTGTTGAAATTGATTGCAAGATTGTGATCACCTTTCATCTGTTGACACAGACAATCAGAATGGATTTTGACTTACTAGAAAAAAAATCGAGTAGCAAAATTCTTCACATTATTGCATTGTTACTTTTTATTGTAGCAGAAATTTAATGTTTTATTACAATCATTATGCAAACAGCTGCTTTTATTTTGTAATTGAAGGTTCTCCTTAATTCAGTATTTTACATGGTATGTTTCAGGTTCTATTTATTCATGATAAGAAGCTGACCATAGTAGGGGCCTCAATCAATCAGGAACACTCATTACTAGGTATATATTCTACATTTCTCATGATATTTCAAAGGATTTACAAATAAACTAATTAGTTTATTTGTAAATGAAAGTGGATTATAGCACTTCTCAGTTTATAGAGATGAGGAAAAATGCATCCTCCCAGATCACGCTCTTCCATCTTGAAATTGCATATGTGATGTTTTCAAATGCTGAAAGATTAATCATGCTCTGTCTTTTGTAGTGAATGAATGAATGGATATATTTGATTAAATTTGGTGCTGTTGCTCTTTATATTAAGAATTATCCTTTTTATACAGCTTTCACTTCTTTTGAACCAAGTCAAGAGTGGGATCATAGTAGCCATGTACAACCTAAAGGTGAGTTTGTTTCACTGTTAATGCCCTTTTAACATAAACTTTAAGTGTGTAAATGTTGTTAGTCATTCAGTGGAATAAGAATGAGAAATGAGAATGGCCGGATAGTGGAACTTGCATTTAGCATCTGAGGATGTTGCTGCCTCAACCTACAGGTATGAAAACAGATCAGGTGGCCAGTCCATTGAGGTCATTTACCTAGTGCAAGATCTCAGGTTGAGACCACAGCGTCAGTCAGTTGTTTAACGTAAGTTCTAGTATCAGGGTTCTTCACAGGAGCGGATCCAGAGCTATTTACTGACAGTCTTCCAAATTATCTTTGTTGATTCATCCTCCAATTTTGACCGTCTTCCAACAGAAAAAATAGATACCGTCAATGTAAACTTGAAAATCTGACCGTCTTCTGGAAGACCCAGAAGACGGCCTAAATCCGCCCCTGCTTCATATTTCTTAAACTTAAGTCTTAATCATTTTTTTGTGTGGCTGATCTTATTCACTGCGTAGATGCCAGTTCTTATATCTTATTTACTGAAATACCTATCAAGAACTCCTCTATGTCAATTTCCCACTGGGTTTCATACCATTCTGTAATTGCTGAAATCTTAGTTTCAGACTGTATCTGTTTCCACTCCAACCCCACACATTTTCTTCAATCATCATCATCAAATTCATCTCCTTAGTCAGAATCACATAGCTGCATGCATATACCAGCACTCACACATTTTCTTGTCACTTTTCCCACTTCCAACACTATATATCTGTACTAGTAGATGTAATCTTAGTAATCTCATTTTCCAGGAACATACAAGGTATTTCTGGCTGAACTGCAGCCCCAGAATAATGTGTTCAACTTAAACATCCAGCGGCAGAGATATGTAAAGGTTCAGTTTCTCTATGGCCAGTACAGAGGGTTTGGGGAAACAGCTTATAAAGAGTCACACATGCTGGTGTTCTTGCATAAAGAAGGTAGGGATTTTTTTGTTTGATAACTTTTCTTGTTCAATTGTATTATATATTTATACTTTATAAAATGAATTATGATGTAATAAACTATTAAGTTAATTAACAAAAGGTATAATAAATGGGAATTCAACATGTCAATAATTCATCGGTTTCCCATGACCCCCCCCCCCCCTCCCCTACTTGCGAAGATTAAAAAAATGATTATGATATGCCTGGCTTGTTAGTACCTAAATATTATTTCATTGTATGTTTTTCCCCATTTCAAGCTGTTGTCAAGCAAACATTTCAAGCAATAATATAAATATCCTAAGTCGCACAGTCTGCCTCATCAGAAATTGTGGGACAATGCATTCCAGAAGATGATCTGTACATGATTCATTTGTTTTGTCTCTCTTTTCTATCAGTGAACAGATTATATTGCATATTATGTATTATGCATTAGACTATATTATAGATTATATTGCATTACTGCCATCTGGAATTTATACTTGGCCCATATATAGAATAGGGGATTAACTAGTCCCAAGGGTCAAATATGACCAACCCACTTAAATACTTCCCCACGGGATATCTATTCAGTGTCTATCAGCGGATTAGACAGCAAGCTTTGTAGTGGGTCACCATATTTGACCCTCAGACTAGTTAGGCTTCGTTCACATGGAATGTCTATTTTCTAAATTCTGTTTTCTATTCGCGCTACCTTATGATCAGGGTCTGTGCCCTGAATATCCCGCCGCGTAATTACTGGCAGCACGAGCCAGTTACTAATAGTAACTTATAGTAACTGGCTCGCGCTGCCAGTAATTACGCCGCGGGATATTCAGGGCACAGACCGTGATCATAAGACATACCGCGAATAGAAAATAGAATTTAGAAAATAGACATTGCATGTGAATGAAGCCTAAGTCCCCTATTCTGAATGGGCCATTAATTGTTACCAGTTGTTTGCTTTGATTCCAGCTATAGGACTGTATCATATAGCAATGGCCAGGATGGGGGACAAGGGNATATTCAGGGGCACAGACCGTGATCATAAGACATACCGCGAATAGAAAATAGAATTTAGAAAATAGACATTGCATGTGAATGAAGCCTAAGTCCCCTATTCTGAATGGGCCATTAATTGTTACCAGTTGTTTGCTTTGATTCCAGCTATAGGACTGTATCATATAGCAATGGCCAGGATGGGGGACAAGGGAATTGTAAGTACGACAGTGGTGGTAATGTGCCTCCTTTTTCCCATTTTCCCTTGTGGCAAAGAATGTTTGAAGTCTTTTAATTTGTCGTCATAACAGCCTGTTGCCATCCCAGTCACTGAGACCATAAGTACTTAATAAGGCTCAGAACCTCTTATCATTTTACATCATTTTGTTAGATAATATTTTGTGGTTCATTATTTGCAATGAAAATTGTTTTTGTAAAGGTGAGAATATTAAATAACTGTTTGCAAAGAATAATAGAATCTTAAAGATGTAAATAAACTAATAGGAAAGTTTAAAAATAGCATTACTAGATGGAATAGTTTTGAAAATCTTTTTTTTTTTAAATCAGATATTTTAAAAGTGAACCCTTCTGCACCACAATACTGATGTCAACTGATTTAATAATGGGTTTTAAACAATGTGCAATGAAAAACCCATCATTTTACCAGATGAAAACAATGATGCATCAAGTAAGAAGTAACTTATTTGAAAATGTGTTCACTTTTTAGATGATGAGTGGACAACCAAAAACTGAAATTTGTTTTGGGAAGTTTGCCTGGGCGCAGTGGGACATGCATCTTCAGCGTCTTTACATCATCCACCACAAAAAGGAGAACCTCCACGGCATGGAGCAAGCAGTACCTGTGTTAGCAGGATTCCAGTTTCAAGCTCACATGTTGGAGCATCCTTTTGAACTGATGGTAAGTCTATTCATTAATGATGTTCTCTGTCTTGCTCTGCTTCTTCTTCTTCCCTCAATTTTTCCACAGAGTACCAGATTTTCTATTCCGTCTTTTCTGATGATATGGCCCAGAGTTTTCATTTGTCTTTTTCTGATTGTTTTCATCAGTGAGTGTTGTCAACAGCCTTGTTTACTAATGATCCTGCATTGGTATTCAGCAGAGTTGTTATGTCCCACTACATAGGGTTAAACACAGTGACTTAATTTTCTTTGTTGGTGACCTAATTTTCTGGTTGTTATTAGTAGTAGTGTCCATTGATTATAGAGTGTTTATTTTCCTCCTTTGGTTTACCCCACCACGTCATCCTCTGTATTTTTTGACAATGTTCAATGCTTTAAGAAGTTTCATGATATTGTTAGATACGGAGCATATCTTCTGTGAACAAATGTCAATCAGGTGTTGCCTTTCATACCTGTACTCATGATCGGAGCCCAGGACAAAAGCATCTGACCCCAGGGTACATAATAATGCTTAGAATGGATAATTGTCGCTGTTGTTTGAGTTCACTTGAATATTGCCATTTAAATTGACTACAGTGTGAAGACTGGATATTTCTTCTTTCAGTTTGATGTGATACTGGACCTGCCTATACCTCAGGCTAAAAAAAGCAGCAGGTACTATATTTATATTTTAATAATATCTAAAGAACAATACAGTTTGATGTTTTTGTTCATGAGCAGACATTTTGGTGGTGTATTTTATTTTACAGTACATGCTAAGTCAAACAATTCCAAAGGCTCAAGAAATTAAACATTATAACGACCTATTTGTTAATGTTTTATAGAACATAAGAATTGATCGA